TCCCCTGGAGAAATGCATGGGAATTGCCCAGCATGGCAACGACGACCGTACGAACCTTCTTGATATCACCGATCTCTTGAGGCATCTTGGCGGTATTGATGGGGGTTTTTGGCGACAATGAGGGGGTCTACTTGTCTGGTCGATGGGTGGTTTTGTCATGGGACACTTTCGTGGGTGGTTTTTTGGTGTGAATTTGATTTTGTGGGATGGACCCCTGGCGCCGGACCGCGCGAGCTGCCAGGCGGGTGCACGGGCCACTCGAGTCTGTCTTGTCCTTCTGCTTCCCCTTCTGGAGCATTTCCATTCCTGCGACTGTGTCGGGAGATGTGCACCGATCGTGCAGACGGTCTCTGCGTGGGGCCCGAGCAGCCTGTCCCGCCACAGGCAGCAGCGGGTGTGCTCCCACGTCACTGTGGCTTGACGCGTCACCCGGAGCTGTTCGCCCAGACATACTCGGCCTGTACCTTGGCACGAGTTGACGACGCTTCAACTCAATTCTGCTTGCTAACACGTTGCTATTAGTCTATATCTACGTGTTATTTTTCTCATATAATTTTAGCCAGAGTAGATCTTGCAACAAGCCTGAGGTTCTTTCAGTTTAACCAGCAAACGCACCGCCACACCTAGTTCCCAAAATGCCCACCCCACTCGACAATGCTATGAAGTCAAAGGTGAATCTTCTGGGCCTACCTGTGTTTGTATTGGCTAACATTTCACAGAATGCAGTCCTTGGTTAGTTCTGACGGGAATGTGCATGAGAAATCTTGACTAACGAACAACGAAGCATTCGGAGGCTTAGTTACGGCTGTTGCCGTATGGGCCATCTACGGCGGGGACATGTTTCCGGTAGGCGCCGATCCAACTGGCAACCCCGAGGAGTGGACAAGAGAAGAGATGAGGAGATGGCTAGCAGCAGTACGAAAACTTCTTATATCTGATCGCTGAATTTCATGCTGACCTGTCGGTAGCGAAACCTATTTCCTGGGGAGTCAGACACGAGGGAAGAGTTGCTTGCGAGGGTCATGGCCAACATGAGGGCCCCTAGGCGTTGATCGTGATGGAAGCACTGGTTTCAAGTTGGTGGCTTTTAGGACAAAAAGGATGGAACTTTGATAAGCGTCATGATTCAACTACCTTCCTCCTTGATGGAGGCCAAAGCCACTTGCGCAAAGTGGGTAGTATAGTTACTCTATATGATATTTTGTGGAGTTTTCGCTCCAGCATGGTGTGGCATGATGCCTCATTGATCTTATGTTCCAAAACCGCCTACAACTCATCTCTACCAGTGGTCGTTCCGACGGTGGGCTCGTCCTTGGTGACCTTACCAGTGGACTTCCAGTTGAGTGCCTTGAGACGCTCGGACAGATGAGGGTGAGAGAAGTGGTACGTGGCGTAGACCCAGTCGGCATCCATGGTGCTGAGGTTCTGGATCTGGAGCTTGAGCAGGGACTTAGCCAGCTCAACGGAGTAGCCAAGCTTCTGAGCAAAGGCATCAGCCTGGAACTCGTACTTGCGGCTCAGGATGTTCATCAAGAGCTTAACAACAGTGTCCATGGGCGAGAGCGCATCAGAGAAGAGGATGAAACCGATGATGATGGGGTGCTCCTTGAGGAAGCCAAAGTCGGCGTACAGGGAGTTGTTGCTGATAAAGACGGAGAACAGAGTGAAGATGTACAAGAAGTGGACCTGGAGTGGATTAGTTGCGGAAAACATGCTCATGAATGGCTTTGGGAACATACCTGGGAGATGCCAAAGAGACGGGTAGTGTGACCCAAGCTCCAGTGACCCAGCTCGTGAGCCAGAACAGCCACGACCTCCTGCGTCTCGCTCTTCTCGATGAGGGTGTCGTAGATGACAATGTGCTTCTTCCAGGGGAGACCAAAGAAGTAGGCGTTGCTATGGGCGCTGCGCTTGCTTCCGTCGATGACGTAGAGCTCGTGGAGGGGGAAGTTCAGGCTCTTGGCGAGGCTCTCGACACCGGTCTTCAGCTCGCCCTCTTCCAAAGGCGACAGCTTGTTGAACAGAGGCAGGATCGCGATCGGGTAGATGGTAATCATGAAGACCTGAAGACCAGCGGCGAACAACCAGAGGTAGAAGAAGAACTGGTTGCCAGTCTTCTTGACAATGGAGAGGAAACCGGCGAGAATCGGGGGAGCGATGACAAAGGCGAGCAGCTGGGACTTGATCATGTCGGTGATGAACAGCTTGGGCGTCTGCTTGTTGAACCCGAACTTTTCCTCCAAGACAAAGGTCTGGTATACCGAGCTGGGAAGCGAGAGGATCTGCTGGATGACGATGAAGGCCAGGACGAAGACGATGGAGTGCGATATCTCGCCGGTGAAGCGCGCAGGCGCGAACTTGAGCAGCAGGTTACCGGTCCAAGACCACAGCTTGGGGAGGACATCGTATTGGATAAAAGCAATATTCTGGATCTGACCCCAGAGACCGTTGACGAATTCGAATTGAGCTTTAGCGCGACCGTAGGCTTGAGACTTGTCGAAAGTTTCCTGTGAGATTTCTTGTTCGAGGACCTTGGGGGGCTTTGTCTTCTTGAGGACTTGGTACTGGCGCAGCGAGAGCAGGCTCTCGAAGACGAACTGGCCGACCGAGAAGCCGAGAATGAGACGCTTCCATGGAAATAACGGGCGGTCCAAGAACCGGGCGAGGCGCTGGAGGAAATCCATCTTGCTGCCTCCGTCCTTGCTGTTGAAAATATGGCAAAGGAGGGACAGGAAATGGAGGTGTTGGTTTGAGGAAAGAGGGACAGGTTCCGTCCGTGTTGCAAAGCAATCAACCCGGTGAGCAGCAGGCAAGCTGTCCACAGTGAGCTTGGCCCCCAGACAGCCCAAGTGGGGGCCGCACAAGCTGAAGTTCGGAGCTTGCGGGAGTCGGCAGGGGTCATGATTCGCTCCAAATTCTCCAGGTTCTTTCTACGTTGACTGGCTGAAACACCCGGCGAACGCAACGTTCCGCCCCGTTTAAGGCCAAAGCCCCTTTAGATGCATGAATTACGGCAACCCCCGTCAATCGCAAGAAAGTCGGCCGCAAAATCTCAAGCAGCTCGTCGAGGCCGATATCGAGACGTGCGAGATCTACGCCAGCAGCACAGAGACAGCACAAACGCTGCCAAAATGATGCGCCAATCGGTCACAAGCCTATCGAGGGCTTCCCTCGCCCGCCCAACTGTCCAGCCTGCTCGTGTGGTGCAGACTGTCTCCCAAAGGTGACGATCGAGATATCCCCTCCAAAGAAGCGACAAGGCTGACTGGGTGCCCCTTCAGGACGTTCACCTCCCTTCCCTCCCTCCGTCCTTCAATTACTCCTCTCACGTCTGCCTTCCGCCGGCCAGCGATCACGCCATTTGCCCCTTCAACAGCAAATGCCGCCGATGTCGTCCCCACAAGTGCCGTCACGCAACATCCTGCTCTGGCCTCCATGCGGCTCTGCTTCGGCCCGCGTAACACCATGAACCGAAACACCCGATTGATCCAGAAGCGAAGACACGGATTTCTCTCTCGCATGAAGACGAAGGACGGCCGCAAGATCATTGCACGGAGGAGGGCGAAGGGACGCAAGAAGTTGGGTTGCTAAGGCTGTGCGCCACTTGGAGTTTTTGCGACTGTGACCGAACAAGCGAGGAAAGCAGGACGCCGGCGCATGCCAGAGAAACAGCATCGAGAACACAACCTCGTTCGTTTGGCGGGATTTGCGCCATGCATGCAGCATGTCCGCGCGGTGTTGAATGCTAAAAGGGCGACTATGACGGCTCAAGATATAGAGTCGAAACTTCTCGAGAAGCAGGAAGTATTCAATATGTATCAATATGAATTCAATGTACAACAATCATCCCCACACGCTTGCTGTACACTGGCAATTGGTTACCGCCTTCAGTTGGTCGAGGTCCTCCAGATCAGTGTCTATCACACCAGAGCTTAACCCAGCGATACGTGGACACTTGTTTCTGAGTACATTGTGAAAAGGCACACTGAGATTGAGGCGCGCAACGTTAAGCCATGCAGCCTTCAGACTTGACGGTCTACCAAGCTCTTAGAGCAGAATCGCTTTGCCGGTTCTACCTGAGTCCTACATCTATAACGAAAGCACCGGGTCGAAAACATTGGATGGAGAGAACCAAAAACATCACAACCTAGCCTTCCATACCAGACCGTCTGATTTTCCCATGTCTGCGCGGCAACATTCTCTGGGTAATGACTTCGGTCAAAGATAATAGTAAATCTGTAATCAGGGACAACGACGATACTGACGATCCAAGAAACGACGATAGCGATTGTAACAACGATAAGGCGATTAGAGGCGAAAGCTAGCAAACAGGAAAAGTAGTAGCTTTAGCACGGGAAAAATAGGGGAACTCGTCCATAAAATGTACGCCAGTTGCCCGGGAGTATCAAAAGGCACATGCACGCTCGTGCACCTTATGTTCGTTAACATCTTACTGTATGTTCCAGAAGTCTCGAATGTTGTTTCCCGCATCTTCGGTCGGTAGCTGGGCCCGAGAAAGAGGTCGGCTGATGCAGCCCTACCAGGTTCTAAACATAAGCGACGTGCGAATGGCTCACGGCAGTTTTCCCAAAACGGACAAAAGCTATCGGCAATTTCCAACCCATCTTTAAACTTTGATATCCTTGACCATGATCATCAATTGATTTCTCGAGGAATATCTAGAACACTCTGGACATGCTCGCATCACATGATCAGACGCAGTCAGAGATTCAGGGTCCACGGCTCGAAAAACATTTCGTCATGGCAAGATAGCTCGACGCGTCGATTCGCGTCGAAAAAGCAATTAAGGGTCCTGGGGTGCTACCTACGTTTGACTTTAGGGGTGACGACGGTGGTTACATACGCACCTGCTTCAGACAAGAGGAGCTCCCAAAGCCTTTTAATCCCCAGCTTTCCTTCTTCCGACGTTGAACGGTTATTGTCTCTGTCCTTGACAACCCATCCTTGCCCATTGACTTATACCAAAATTCTTACCCAACATGCCTCCTAAGAGACGATCAGACGCGAGCGACGTCTCGGACTCCTCGAAGAAGACCAAGACGACCCCGGAGGCGTCTTCCTCTTCAGAGAGTGAGCCTCCGCGTTGGGCCGCCAAGAGCCGCTTCAACAAAGTCTCCAACACGCGCAATTCAGACCGCGACTACAAGGACAAGATGGCGGATGCCAAGAAGGCTTTCGAATTCATCTGCAGATGTCCCTGGGGCACTAAGCGTAACCTTGGCGGTGAGGAGGAGGAAGAAGATGAGTGGGAAGACGAAGACGAGGATGACGAGGATGAAGATGAGGAAGAAAGCGACGGACCCAAGCCCAAGTGCGACCTCGGCAAGACTTGTCTCTGCGAGAAGCCCGCTGCGGACCACCCTGATGCTCCCTATGTCATCATGCGTGCCGGCTACTACAAGCTCATAAACCAGCAGCCCAACGTCCAGGTCCGCGACCCGGACTTCTTCGGCATGCACACCTACAACGACCACCGTGCCTACGGCATTATCGAGATCATTCAGAACCTGGTCCTGGATTTTGATGAGGTCAGCGCGAACTGGAAGGAGCAGTGGGTCATCTGCGAGGCTCTGTCTCCCTTCATCTGGTATCTCTCTGGGGACGACTTCGCGATGTGAGTTTCATTCCGAACAATGTTATATACACAGTACTAATCTCATGACAGGCGTGATGACGGCGACTTCGCCAGCCTGACAGCCAAGCTCGTCGGCACTCTCTTCCTGTCCATGCTCGCCCGTCTCGAGCGCATGGGTCTTTTGAAGCCAGACTCTGAGGTCCGCGACCTTGGCATGGTCATGGCCGGCTTCATCAAGTGTGCCCAGGCTTTTCGCGGCTACTCTCTCTTGGAAAGACGATGACAAGACCCGCAAGTCCAAGGCGCGCCCCTTCGTCTATGTGCCCTCCCACTTCGACAGCTACGTCGCCGCCTATGCCGCAAAGTACAACATCATGTTTGGCGGCGTCAAGGAACTCAAGAGCCTTCTCGACGATGTCGACGAAGACGTTGACGTGCCCGCGGAGAAGGACGGCGAGGACCCCTGGGGCTTCAAGGCTGCCTTGAAGGAGTACAAGGCCGAGCGTGGCGGCAAGATTGGCGGCGACTCTCTCGACAATACCGGCTGGTCGTCGGCGGAGCGCAAACAGCATGCCTTCCGTAAGAAGGACCCGCTTCCCAAGGACATTCTCGACGGTCTCAAGGCCGGTGAGGTGATTGGACTTGCCTGAACTTGAATGGCTCTATTGATTGCCTTTGTATCCTTATGTTGAGGTTGTGTCGTTGTATGTTGTTGCAAGCGAAGGATACCACTTTGAATTGTAGATGGTCTTTTTTGGATAGAGATTATGGATTGGAAAATGTATTATCACTTTAAGAGTCAAACATTAGACGGGACTAGTGAGACCTCCTTCGCACGACTTGGAGTCGGTATAACACGCCAAAAACAAGCGGTCACTCGCGTCACCGACCCAAATCTTGTACCTGCCCTGGGTGTTAGGGATAACCCAGTTCTGGCTGACCACATCCCACACGCTCAAATCCTTCCTCGTCAACTGCAGCTGCACCGTGGTGCTCTCACCAGGCGCCAGGTTCTTGGTCTTCTCAAAGTCTCTGAGCTGAATCACCGGGGTCTCGGGCCCGCCGCTGGGGAACTGCACATAAGCCTGCGCCGAGGCCTTGCCCGAGTACTTGGACCCGGTGTTCGTGACCTTCACGGAGACGGTGAACATCACGTCGTACAGCGCAGGGTTGCCGCCCTGGGCACCGCCAGCCGCGGGGCCGGGCTTTTGGGTGGTGCTGTATCCCGGAGGATACGGGTACGTCTTGGTCTTGGCGTCCTCGACGGCCTGCTTCGCCTCGCCCTCGGTGCACCAGGAGTAGATGTACCGGAAGATCTTGTTGAAGCCGGAGGGCACAACACCCTCGGTCCAGTCGGGAATGGGGGCGTCGTACACGAGCACATCGCCCTTTGCGGGGCGCGCGGGAGGGGTGGCGCTGAGGGCTCCGACGGAGCTGATACTTGCGTCGGTGAAGGAGAAGTTGGTGTAGCTGAGCCCGTGGCCAAAGGCGAAGCGCGGCTTGATGCTGTTCTTGTTGAGATAGCGGTAGTCGATGTAGAGACCCTCAGTGTACGTGTCCTGAGGCTGGCCGGTCGAGCCGCCGGTGAGCTTCGTTACGGAATCGGGGAGATCAGACTCCTGCTTCGTCATGCTGTAGGGCAAGTGGCCGGAGGGAGAAGCATCGCCGAAGACAGCGTTCGCCAACGACTCGCCAGCCTCCTGGCCGGGAAGGTGGGCAACGAGCACGGACTTGACGCTGGGGAGATCGATCCAGGAGTCGACCACGATCGGGCCGACGGTGTGGATGACCACGACGACGTTCTTGTACTTGGCGGCGGCGTCCTGGACGAGCTTGTTGCCGTTGTGCCAGGCGTCAAGGCCAGATGAGCTCCGGTCACCGTTGTTGCCTTCGACGACGTACTGGTTCTCTCCCGAGTCGGAAGTGATGAAGACAAATGCGACATCGTTGTCGGTGGGCGCAGGGACTGACGGGAAGCTGTCGGTGTTGTAGAATGTTACGTTGCTGGCTCTCTTCTTGAACGCAGTGATGGGGTCGTCCAGGTAGACGTAGTCGACGGTTCCGGAACCCCAGCCAATACCGAGCGTGCCCTTGTTGCAGCTCCTATCGGCACAGGCATTAGGTCCGTCAGAGTTTGTCTGGGCATCAGTGCCGAAGACCTTGATCGGGGCTGATGTTGTGATGGGTAGAAGGCTGTCCGCGTTCTTGAGCAAAGTAATGGCCTCCTGAGCAACCTGCCTAGCAACGAGATAGTGGTCATCCTGAACTGGGACCATCTCATTGACAACGCCGCTGGGACTGAAGGGCCATGCTCCCGGATATAGAGGCCCCTCGCGATCCCGAGTGCCCGTGGCGAAGTTGAGCTTGGGGAAGCCCTGGTCTTGGCCCATCTGGTACCAGGTTGCCACGATTCTCGTAGTCATGTCGTTGAGACGGCTCATGGGGACAGAGCCGTTAAGCACCGACCTCGTGAGGTCGTACATCCAGTAGCTGTAACCGAAGAGGGGGATCTGGGTGTCGCCAGGCATGTTCAGGTCAAGACCGGCGAGAGCAGAGTCGACTCCGGACATGTGGGCCAGCCAGTCAGACATCACGGTTCCTTGGAAACCGAGCTCGTCTTTCAGGATGCCGTTGATTAGATAGCTGTTCTGGCTGCAGGCGGATCCGTTGACCTATGGTGTTGTTAGTTGACATTGCCAACATATGACTTTGCTACCCGCATACCGCGTTATAAGCCGTCATGACGGCGCCAACTCCTTCTCGAATGCCGTCTGCAAACGGCCAAAGGTACAACTCATGTAGAGTGCGGTCGTCTGTTAAGCCAGTCAGAATCTGAAGTCTGCTACAAAGCCAGGTGGTCAACAAACCAATGTTGGAGCTGTAGCCCTGCTGGAGCGTGTTGTACATGCGGTACATCTCCTGCTCGTTCCCAATAAGATGCTTAATCGTAGCAATGACACCTTGCTCCTGAACGCCTTTGATGGTCAACGCAGCGGCTTTGCCCTGCAGGACGGGATCGGCGCCGAAGCCTTCCCAGTTTCGACCGCCCCTCGGCTTGCGGCCGATGGGACCCACGCTCGGTCCAAGATATATGTTGGCGCCCTTGCCACGGAACTCTTTCCCCATGGCTACTCCTCGAGCGTACATCAAGTCCTTGTCCCAGGTGGCCCCGGTGGTTATACCGGACGGGAACACCGTGACGTTGTCGGCCTGACGGACGCCGGTTGCTGAGTCTGCAAGGCAAAGCTGAGGAAAGCCAACACGCTCGGCGCTGCCCGTGTTACCAACGCAGCGGCTGTGCAGGTTAGTTGATGTTCGCGATGTAGCTTCTCGAGTACGTACCCTGTAATGTGTTAGTCTAGCGCACTTCGCGTTGAAACTCTTCACATCTATCTTACCCATGAAAATGCCGGAGCCAGAAGTGATGTTGGTCTTCTCAGCCAGCGTCATCCTGTCAACGAGAGCTTTCGCCCTCTCATAGCTGTCCGCCCAGTCCGCCGTCCAGCCACCGAACGGCGCCGGGTAGTAAGACGCCGCAACATAGCCGGCGGGAACTTGCCTGACATCAATCGCAGCGGCATCACTCCACGACACCTGGCTCGCAAGCGCAACAAGGGCAAGAGACTTGATGCCGGCCATAGTGTTTGCCGACTTGTTCCGAGCTGGGTGCTGATGAAAGCACTGGCAAAAACACACACGCGCACAGAAACGGCAGCTCAACGCAACGAGGGAGCAACAGAGCAAGCTGGCAAAGCTCAGAAACACTTGCGAATGGTATCGCGGCCATTACTACTTAACTTATACAAAAGTCGGGCAGAGTGGACACACCCACTCGCGCAGATCTCCGGGCGCCCGTGCCAGCACAAGATCCGGCGCCCTGCTTTCAATCTTTGAATACCATGGTTGCATTGCACTTGGGGTAGCGCCCATCCTCATGACTCTCCCGTGGGCTCACATCTCAGAACGCTTCCCCCTTGCCTGTCACAAGGGAGAGCGGGCAGCGGGCAGCAGGAAAAGGGGTGGCCCGCGAAGCTGAACAAGCAAGCGATCACCCCTTGGCGACGCATCAACGATGTATGTGACTGACGTCGGCCACGAAAGCACACAGCACACAGCCGTGGATGTGTGTGTACCCGAGCTGTTCGGGGGCGGAGAGAGGTGTAATGTCATTATAGCAACCGAAAGGGTCCATGGGCATCAAGCAGGCACATATAGCACAAGCCAGATATTGCAACACATCAAGGTTGCGGCCTGTTCCTTTCGGGCAGCTGGCTTGGCCGCGAAGTCGGGCCTATGCGTGACCAAGAGATAAGTGTAGTGCGGCCGATCAGCATATCGCGTAGAGCGTAGCGTTAGAGTAGAGACTAGAGAAGAGTCGGTAAGCAGTATTCGCAGAGGGGTGGGCAAGGGACGTCTGGCAGAAGGCGGGGAAATGTGACCCATAGGGAACCATTCAAAGACGTTTCTAGAGCTTGGGATTCAGTCGGGTGAGGGACCGAGAGCTGCTGATTAGCTAGCTGGCTCGCTCGCTTCGGGCGGGAGTTGGTGTGTGGACTAGTTGGGGGTTCAACCTGGAAGCGAAGCGGCATTTCGTGTGTGGACGTTTGGGGGTCGCGTTGCGTTGCGTTGCGTTGCGTTGCGTTGCGTTGCGTTGCCAGTGACCGGAGGAATCTTCAAGTCCGTTGGGGAAAAAAACACACTTGGGAATAATGCGGTGGATATCATGAGATTAGGGGAACATGGACAGACGGACCCACGACCGAGGCCCAAAGCGATGACAGGTCCGGAGACGTTAACCGTAAATGTCGACATATCCCGTAAGGGGTGACAATAATTGCAGATCTCCTTCATTGCTGGAGAGATGCGAGGAATACGCGCAGCGCTGAGCGCACGCGGCGGGCTGGGGGGATGATCATCGCCCATCGAGCGGTCTGCTCTAGGAAGGCCGACCTCTGATCCGGCTCGGCTCCGAAGCGGGGAGAATGGAGTGGGCGAAAGGTCGGTTACTGTTGAATCTGCATGCTGGTGTCGCATTGCGGGCGTGATCAACTGAGCAAAGCTGGCAGTTTTTCTTGATAATAGTGCATGCGCATCGGCAGAAATGGGTGTGTAACAACGGCGGTAGAGGTGGGAAACATCTTGACGCGTGACCACCCTTTTTTTTTTTTTTTTTTTTTTTTTTGCTTCCCATGTCTTTATGGTCGGGCATACAGCTCTAATGAGACTAGAACGACTTGGAAGCGAACGAAGCGAAGAGCTCCAAGCGGTTGGAAACCCCAAACTCGGTCCGGCAGCGGGAACCAAAAAACAGGGAACAGGGATGACACTGCACAGATTTCGGCTCTTGACTGCACGGCAGACCAAGTTGATTGGTGTCGATACCGGCGGGATTCACTCACTGTGTTTTTTTTTTGGTGTTGTTGTCGCGCGGGATAAAGGGCGAATACATAGTATCATCGAGGTGTCAATTATGGCGTGGCATTGGTGTTCTTGAATGCGACATATGACAACGATTGAGGAGCTGTCGTGTGGTGTGGGAGTGGTCACCACGTCGGCTGTCGGTGATAGTAGTTGCAGATAATTGACTCAAAGATTGGATTGTCATTGCAGGGGAGATCGGGAAAACCATGCCGGAGGTCGAAGCAAGATT